AACCCCTGATCTCAAGTGATCCGCCCACCTTGGCCTCCCAAAGTGCTGGGATTACAGGCGTGAGCCACTGCACCTGGTCTGTTGTCATTCTTTCTTCATTTTTATCAGTGAGCAGTACAAGCTGACTGCTGAGCTCTCTCCGTGATCTACAAAATTAACTTTGTATTTCCAATGAAAACAGTCTTAAATTACTACATCTGCTGAATCAAAGTACAATGTGCTTAGCAGTAGAAATTATAATGGTAACAAAACTCAGGAATATCAGTGAGGTTGAGGGTGTTTCTGTATAATATCCTAGGGAAGCCCTTAGCCTGTATTGCTAGCACGTGCAAAGTGTTCCTTTGCATTTTTTTTTTAAGACAGAATATGGATGCAGGTAATTCAGTTTTTTTCTGAAACAGCAACCAACTGACAAGTAATAGATTGGCAAACAAAAAGGATAATGTGCCTCAGTTTCTCATGTCCAAAAATCAGAAGTAATAAAATATCTGCTTCACTAGATTGTTGTGACTGTTTATTTATTTATTTATTGTTGTTTTGTTTTTTTTGGGATGGAGTCTCACTGTCACCCAGGCTGGAGTGCATTGGCACGATCTCGGCTCACGGCAACCTCTGTTTCCTTGGTTCAAGCGACTCTCCTGCCTCAGCCTCCCGAGTAGCTGGGATTACAGGCACACACCAGCACGCCCAGCTAATTTTTCATATTTTTTAGTAGAGGCAGGGTTTCACCATGTTGGCCAGGCTGGTCTCGAACTCCTGACCTCAAGTGGTCTGCCCGCCTGGGCCTCCCAAAATGCTGGGATTACAGGCATGAGCCACCATGCCCAGCCTGTTGTGACAGTTTAAATGAATAAATACTTGCCACAAAAACAGTGCCCAGACATAGGGAGGGCTACATAAGAGTCTGTGAAATAAAGAAAACTTTATTGGTTAAAGAAAAAAGAAGAGTGAGAGGAGGGAGGGCTTCCCTAGTTGCAGAGGTGGGAGACGACTTTACGGAAGAGGAGGCTTTAAATCAGGCCCTAAATGATGGTGGGATTTGAAACAAAGGAGGTCCAGGAAGGCCCTCCTGCCTGCTCATGCCGACCCAGCTTTTCAGGGCCAGCGTGCTTGTCTCTGTGCGCCAGGACCCAGGGAGGTGCCAGAAGGAGCCAGTGGAGGGGCCTCGCTGGGCAGGCTGACCCCGAGAAAGGGCAGAGGTGAAGTCCCGTCCCTGCTGCTCCAGCAGCCCTGGAAGGACCTCCTTTGTCTCAGAGTGAATGGGAAGTAAAGACAGAGGAAGGACAAATCCTACAGACACAGTTACCATCTCTCCTTAAACCCAAATTTGAGACTTGTTACAATTCTAGTGTGCCTGTGAACACAATGACACAGAATCTTGCTACGAGGGTTATCCTGGTAAATTCAGGGTGCATGCTCACCACAGTGGCAGCCAGAGCAGAGAACGGCTCAGGAGAGCTATTAATACTCCCAGGAACCACTGCCCCCTCCACACTTCCTGCAAGGCCCCTGCACTTGGACGCCTACACCATATTCCATGATGCCCCTACAAGGGGCGGGAGAAGACATGGAGCGGGGGGGTTGGGGGGGACACCAGCTGCTTGAGGATTGGTCAGACCCCACCGCCTGCCTCAGCTCACGAAAACCCTTCTGCGTCCAGCCGACAGTGAGCACCACCCTCTCCAGGAACAGATGTCCTGCGTGCTCAATGGAGAGCGCAGAGCCCACAGCAAACAGAACTGTCCCCAGCAGTCCGGATCTCTGACATCAGCCCCCAGGAATGTGCTGCAGATGCTCCAGCACATCCAGGCCTCCCTGAGGCAGCCCTCCCCTCCTCCTTCCCAGTATTTCACTGGGAACTGGCCTCTGAGCTGCAGACGGAGGCCCTGGGAGGGTGGCAGACAGCCTACCCGGCTCCAGGCCTGGAGATTGGAGGGGTGACTGGAGTGAGTGAGGCAGCCTGGGTGCAGCGGAGCGGAGCAGGAAGCCTGCTGTGAAAGAGGCAGCTAGGCCAAAAGCTGGGCTGCAGGAAGAACACGGAGCTGGGCTGACTGAACCAAGAGTCCTACCCACCAGCTCTCCCCCAGCCAAGGATGAAGGCAGATGTCGTGGGATTCTGCCAGCTGCTGAGTACATCTTTTTCCATGATGCTTTCTGGACGTGGGGAAATAGGACAGGATGGGTCTGAGATGGACTTAAGCTAAAACCCCATAAGCCCCTACTTTGATGTTCTGGGTCTTATGCTACGTGGACCAAAGTATGGCCCACAGTTAGTGAACAGAAATGCTGACCCTGCCTCTGTGGCAGGTGGAGGATACTGTGGGGAGCTCTCCCTGGTGCCAACCCAGCTGTCCTGCAGGCTCTGCCGGGTGTGGGCTGTGACACTTTGAGTCCACTGCCCTTCAGGCCTCTTCCATGCAGACCCAGGGCTTGGGCCAGTGGTCTCTGAGCCTTACCATGCCCTAGGAGTCCTAGCCCTTTGCCGGCCGAGAGCCCACCGAGGCACAGAAACTCTTCACAGCACCTTTCTCTTTTGGGCACACGTGGGCTTAACTGTCACTGAGTCCCAGATATGAACATAAAATGACAGGGACAAGCAAGAAGGTCATGCTTTCCCTCACACTCCTCTGCTAGGAAGGCTGCCCCCCACAAGCTAGAAGGCTGCAAGAGGGGTTAGTTTCCAGCAGCTCCTGTTCTTCATCTCTCATCCTGCAGACAGCACCACCCACCACCCCCTTCTTGGATTGCTCTCAGCCTTGGAAGCCTTATCCTCGCCCTACTTGAAAAGGCAAAGCCACAGACGCCAGGGTGGGAGGGGTGGAGAGGGGGTTCCAATGCAGCACGTGACAGGATTACCCAGGGCCCAGCTGCTGAGACTGGCCTGAGATCAACTCCTCAAAAGCCGAGGACTCTGGACTGGCCAGGGTTGGGAGATGGCTTCCAAACGCCATCTGGGCAAGGCGTGTGCTGTGCAGCTCAGAACTGCAGCCAGGCTGGGGGCGCGGGCAGGGCCAGCCAGGTAGGAAGCCTGCCAGGGAAGGGGCTTGCTTTGCTTGGCTCCAGCTGGTAAGAAAAGCTGAGAAGGTGTCACCAGGGAAGGAGTCGGGTCGGAGTTCCCCGAAGTATTCCGAGGACGGTGACTCCTGGTACCAACAGGAAGGAAGGTCTGGGCCATGTCTGGGGGCTAGAATCACCATCGAGGTGACCCTAGGGTGTTGTGTGCTCACCCCACTGGGCAGCTCTGTGGCCATACTCATTCACCCACATGGGTGTCTGGGGGCTGGGACCAAAGTACGGCCCACCCCATCCAGGCCAGGCTGGGCCAGGGTCAGGGAGGGATATGCGGTCTGCCCAGCACCCCAGGGAGCTGGCGGGTAGAGCTGGGGCTTCAAGCTAGGTCTCCTGGAAGCCACGTCTTCTCCTCCTCTGATTTGGAAGGAAAAAGACAGTGCTGTGAGTCTGCACTCTCCACGACTGTGGACCCTATAGCTGGATACAGGGGACCTCCAGAGGCCAGGCTGTGCATGAGGCTGGGATCTGCCCCTTCCTGGTTCTATCATATTTCTCCAGTTTCCTCAACTCTTAAACAGACCCTTATTTCCCAGTGGCGTTGTGAGAATTAAATGACTGAGAATAGTGCCTGGCACGTGGTAAGCCCTTAGTAAAGAGAAGCTAATATTCCTATGATTATTAAGAGGGGGGAGGCTGGGAGCAGTGGCTCACGCCTGTAATCCCAGCACTTTGGGAGGTCAAGGCAGGCAGATCAAGAGGTCAGGAGTTTGTGACCAGCCTGACCAACACACTAAAACCCTGTCTCTACTAAAAATATAAACATTAGCCGGGCGTGGTGGCGTGTGCCTATGATCCCAGCTACTTAGGAGGCTGAGGCAAGAGAATCACTCGACCCCGGGAGGCAGAGGTTGCAGTGAGCCGAGATCGCACCACTGCACTCCAGCCTGGGTGACAGAGCGAGAATCTGTCTCAAAAAAAGAGGGAAGAGGCCGGGCGCGGTGGCTCAAGCCTGTAATCCCAGCACTTTGGGAGGCCGAGGCGGGTGGATCACGAGGTCAAGAGATCGAGACCATCCTGGTCAACACGGTGAAACCCCGTCTCTACTAAAAATACAAAAAATTAGCTGGGCATGGTGGCGCGTGCCTGTAATCCCAGCTACTCAGGAGGCCGAGGCAGGAGAATTGCCTGAACCCAGGAGGCGGAGGTTGCGGTGAGCTGAGATCGCGCCATTGCACTCCAGCCTGGGTAACATGAGTGAAACTCTGTCTCAAAAAAAAGAGGGAAGAAGACCCCGTGATCCACCAAGTATACCCCAAGTAAATGCCAGCTTGTTGGGGTGCTGAAATCCTTCCACTGCCAACCCTTAAGTCAAATGACTCCAGGTTCTGTCCCTGCCTACTTCTTTCCCCCACTGGGAAATAGGAACTTTAGCAACCATAACAGATATAGTGGATTTAACTGGGATTGGATGAAGTGAATGGCATTGGTCAGTTTCTCAATGACCTGCTGCAATTTCCAGATTTCACAGAATCACCATTTGCGGAGGGCAAGTAAACATTTCTTCTTAAGTTGGTGTTGTCTCTGCCGGGCCTGGCCAGGGTATTGCCCTAGCTTAGCTCATGCAGTCCCTGAGTGGGCTAGCAGCACCCCAAGCCGGGGTTCTCTGGGTTGGGGGTACCCTGCACCTCACTTCTGCAGTATGCCATCCCTCAGGCTACTCTGGGGATTAGGGTGTATCTCCTGTAGACCTGTGAGTTCCTCAAGGGTTAACATGCCACAGGGCACCCTTGAACTTGACACCTGGCCCAGCAGAGGGCTCTATGCAGGCTGCCTGCAAGGACACCCGCTTGCCTGGCTGTGCCTGGCCAAGGAAAGGCCACCGCCAGGGCAGACTCCTTTAACCAGGTAGGTGGGGCAGGTACCCTCAAAGCCACCCCTTCCGTGCAGTCCTCTTACTTGTACACTTTGGTGTTGTACGTCCTCTCCCCAGGGAAGCCAAACATGCCGCAGACCACGCGGGAGTTCTTGGCCGTCCAGTGCTTGTCACAGATCTGCTTCCAGGTCTTGCCCTCCTTCACCTCCACGTAGCCCTCCATCACTGGGGTGCGCTTGCGGTAGGCCGAGAGGATGGCTCGGATCCGAATGTCCTCCACCTGGATATTCAGGTTCTGGGAAGAAGGAGGAGTGGAAGGAGAGGGTTACCCTTCTGGCCTCGCTGCAGAGACATCAGGCATTCAGTCCTTCTTTAGTGACTACAGGCCGGGCCTGCCACTGGCCTGCCTGTGCCCTTGGGCCCTGCAGTGAGATCCAGGCACCCCCGAGGAGCACACGGCCCAAGCTGCAGTTAGAGAGCGCTGTGCATGGGTGGTAGGGAGGCTGCAAGGACCCAACAGGGAGTGGGGTGACCTGGAGCAGTCAGAGAAGACTCAGAGACCCATAGGCTTCTCCCACATCCGAACCTAAGATCTTGGAGAGCACAGGGCAGCAGCCTCTTCCTGCACAGGCCTCGAAATAAATGCATGGGAGACAAAGGGTTCTTTGAATGTGGATTTCACATTTCACTCCAAAGCACGTATGTGCCTGTGAGTGTGTCTCTGTGTGTCCTCCTTGATTAATCTTTCAGTAAAAGTTGAGTTTCAGATAGAGGAGCCCCAGATGTCCTGAAGCTGGTGATGCCACCCTGCAGACTCCCTCATACACCAGGGGTGGGCATTCCTCTGTTCAAAAATTCTTAGAGAGGCCTGAGAGAAGAGGCAGGGCTTAGAGAGAAAGGAAGCAGAGATTCTGGCATTGAGCATCCTGTGTGCAGAGACCCACACCTGCCTGGTAGGGATCAGGGAGGTAGGGTTGGGGACAACTCTTTGGCCACAGCAAGGAAAGGAGAGACTGCAAACGCCTTCAGTCCGTTGGAGGGTCCCCTTCCCACACCCACCCCATCTATCTGTGGAGTGAAGGACAGGGGCTGGGGTCGGGGTTAGAGAGATTCATTGGCAAGGCCCTTTGGGAGGAGGTGAAGGAAGGCTGGAGGGGCACAGGCGGGAGGAAGGCTCCTGTCTCCCTGCCTCGTGGGCATTCCTCCTCCCTTGACATGGAGCTGGAACACCTGCGTACCACCTACACCTGGGTCCTGGGGATCTGGCAGGAGAGGGAGCCTCGAGAGGCCAAGCGGGATGGGAGGAGCAGAGGTCCCTGGAGTTACAGTGGCACTGACCAATGCCTTTCCAAGACCCGCCATAGCAGGCTCCAAATACTATGGAAGCTCCCTCCTGAATCACCTGGCCAGCCATCACCACCTCTTGCTACAGTCCCTGACTGAGGGCCAGCAACCACAGAGCTCTTTATTCTTTTAATTAATTAGTAATAATAATTATTTGAGGCAGGGTCTCCCTCTCTTGCCTAGGCTGCAGTGCAGGGGTGTGATCATGGCTCACTGCAGTCTCATATCCTGGGCTCAAGCAATCCTCCCACTTCAGTCTCCCAAGTAGCTGGGAGTACAGGTGTACACCACCATGCCCAGCTAATTTTAAAATATATCTCAGAGATGAGGTATATGTTGCCTAAGCTGGTCTCGAACTCCTGGCCTCAAGGGATCCCCCCACCTCAGCCTCCCAAAGTGCTGGAGTTACAGGTATGAGCCACTGCAGCCGGCTCCTTCTAAAACACAGATCTAACCTTGTCCCTTGACTAACTCCTATTTGTCTATGTAATACCCTCATATTGAGTGAGATGTTCTCAGGCATTCAGAACTGATTCCACCTATGCCTCCAGCCCCGTCAGTCCCCAGCTTCACATGGATAGGCAGACACCATGAATTGTAGTGCGTAACAGCAACAGCCATCACAGAGCAGGCAACAGGTGCCCAGCCCTGTGTGAGGTGCTTTCCTGGCGTTCTCCTACCTAACCCTCGCACGCTGTAATGAAGTGGTTGATGGCTACTGCCATCCCCATCTTAAAGACGAGAATACCAGCTGATTCCAGTCCCCATGCCGGGACTGCCCTGAGGTGCAATGGAAGACACACATGCACTGTGAGTGGGCCAAAGAGCAGGACATACGGCCGGTCCGAGTGGGGCTGGAAGGCAGAAGGAACCCAGTGCCCCAACTGCCCCAGCCCTGTCCAGCCGAGATGCAAATGAACCACGAGGTTGAACAGAACCATTCTTTGGGTACCTGGGGATTCATGTCTCCTCGCCACGGGCACAGCCAGGCCCCGCTCCAGGTCCTGCAGGGCGGTGGAAAGTATGTGGGCCTGGAGTGATGGCACTTGGCTCCGTTTCCTTTCCACCAGAGCGGAAGGAATGCTGCCAGTGGCAGGATTATACCCCAGCCTGGATCCTGGATCCTTTACAGCCCTCATTCAGGCCGCAGGACCCGTGCCACCAAGACACGTGGACACGGGTGAGCCAAGAAAGAGCCTGAGGTCTAACCCAGCCCACAAGCCGGCCGCCTTCTGTCTCTTCCCACCTCGGGAGACTGGGCTGGAATTCCAGTGTGTAACTGTCATGCCCAGAAGGAAAGTGACGCCTGCGATTCACGGGGCAGGCAGCCCGGGCTGACCTTCGGTTCACAGATCCTTTCCCCTGCAGTGGGCAGCAGTGCAGGCTCGCAGCAGGGAAGGTGTGACCCCCAGCACCTGGCCGCCACAGGAGGAGGAAGAAGGCCCGGCTGGAGGAGTTCAGCAGACCCCACTGGAAAAAGCTACGTGGGCCTGAGGCCAGCACACACCAACCCAAACACCAAGGGAGCTTGCGCTCATTCCTGCGATGATACCGGGCAGGTTCCTCTGCTAAATATGGCTGATGGGGAGAGCCCCGGGGCTCCACCGTGGAGGCAATGCAGCCTGGAAAGAGAAAGGGCTAGCAGCAGGTCTCGTCATCCTCATTCTTCCACCGACTCACTGCATACGTGTTTATGCATCTGTGTGTGTGTGCGCATGGTGGTGTGTGCTTCATGGTCTGTGTGTGTGCATGGTGGTAGAAAATGTGCATGGTGATATATGCGTGATGGTGTGTGAGTGCCAGTGTGTCCATGTGTCATGTGAGTCTCTGTGTGTGTGTCTCTGGGACTGTGTGTCTCCATGTCCGTGTGCACGATGACGTATGCATGACAGGGTTGCGTGTGTATGCCTGTGTGTCATGTGTTTCTCTGTGTACCCTCTCTGTATGAATGTCTATGTTACATGGGTCTCTGTATGTACAGAGTGTGCATTTGTTTGTGTGTCTTATGCTGGAGGAAATTCTGCAAGGATCTTGTTCCTTGCAAGGCCTTAGGAAAGCAGTCACGACACGTTTCACTCATTCCTTCAACTGGAACGTCTTCTCCTCGTCTCCCTCCAAAGAACCAAAGCCTCCCCCTTACACTGCAACCATAGCGCCCTGTCTCAGCTGTTAATAATGACAGCTATGGTCATCATTTATCAAACACCAATTTGCCGCAGGCTTGGTTCTTTTCGATTTTTATTTATTTATTTTTTGGAGAGGGAGTCTTGCTCTGTCACCCAGGCTGGAGTGCAGTGGCAGGATCTCAGCTCACTGCAACCTTCGCCTCCCAGGTTCAAGCGATTCTCCTGCCGCAGCCTCCTGATTAGCCGGTATTACAAGCATGCACCACTATGACTGGCTAATTTTTTGTATTTTTAGTACAGACAGGGTTTCACCATGTTGGCCAGGCTGGTCTCGAACACCTGACCTCGTGATCCACCCACCTTGGCCTCCCAAAGTGCTGGAATTACAGGCATGAGCCACTGCGCCTGGCCAACTGCAGGCTAGGTTCTATATAGAAAACTTTACATCCACTCCATTATTCAATTCCCATGGCAGCTTTCAAGATGGCTCCTGGTCCACCCATTTAGAGGTGAAAACATGAGAAATCTTGGCAAGCTTCTGCAAGTTATCCAAGTTTACACAGCCAATAAATAGGTAAACAAGTATGCAAATCGAGTTCTGGCTCCAAATCTGAGCTCCAGGCTCATAATGACCACTGGTCTCTGAGCAGTCCTCATCTCATGCCTGTGTCCGATCCATTGCCCAGTACTGAGGGTGACTCACCCAGGGCAGGGCCTGGGGCTCAGAATTCTGCATGTCCCCTTCAGCCACCTGAAGGGTGCTGGTGCTGTGCACAGTGGAAGCCCAGCATCCTACGACGAGGAGCAGTGAGTCAGACCGGAGTGTGTACGTGAGGGGAGAGCTAGGCTCTGGGCGTTCTTGCCTTTAGGCCAGCGGGAAGAGGCAGGGAAACCCTTTGGGGCACACATTTGGTGCTCACGCAGGCTAAACAGCTCACAGAGGCTTAGTGAGACCTCTTAGAAAACACGCACACACACATCACCTATCACCTCTCTCTTAACTTCACTGCTGTGGAATCCCTTCCATAACCACAAGTATTACGATATATTTTCCCCAGGAGTTCAGCCCCAAAAGTTAAGAGAAAGTTTGAAATATTAAAATATACACACATTTTTTTTTTCTTTTTTAAATGAAAGGCTCTCTAGGCTTGCGAGTTTAAAATTCAGCCCCAAATCCCAGAAGCTGGTCAAGTACCTTGCACATATTAAAATTCAAACTAAAACCTGAGGCTGTCCCTCTTGCCAGAGACAACAGTGCACCCAGGCCTCCAAAAAGCTTCCCTCCAAGGGAGACACGGAAACCCCGGGATGTGTGATCCTCAGAGCTCATTACATCCTCCAGCAGGGCCTGAGGCTCTGGGAGTGATTTGCACCCGCTCCCAGAAGTGAAAACTAAGGCACAGCCAGGCAAGGGACTTGTGACTTCAGCCAGAGAGGAAGGGAGCTCTGGGCTCTCTGACTCTCAGGTTTATGCCTGAATGACATTTAACATTTGCAGCATCTGTCCATGACTTGTAAATTCCAGAATGCGATAGTCTGGGGCTGTCGCCAATGAGGAAAAATCACCCATTTTGAAAGTCTAGCTGGAAGTTGCATCAGAGAAAGGTACAATGAGAAGCAAAGCAAGCCAGCCAGCCTACATGAATCCACGTCACAGTCGCTCTAAACTCTCAGCACCAGGCACGTTGGCAAGGCCAGGTCTTAGCTCAGTGGTCCTTCTCCTTCCCGCTGTTCTAGAAGTCATAATTTAGTATCAGCCAAGGCTTTCTGG